CCTAGATCAAAGCCTGTCATTGGCTTGTGTTGGGGGGGGTGTTCCTCTTTGTACATCTGTCAGTATTGACAGTTAAGCTGTGCGGACCTTATCAATGGTGGACATGAAATAGTGGAATTCTCTTCCAGTTAATATTCACTGAACCAACATGAACCTGACACAACTCCAGGAGGCAATAGAAGACAGGAGGGCCTGGCGTGCTCTGGTCCATGGGGTCACGAAGAGTCGGACACGACTAAACGACTAAACACACACACACAATATTCATTAGTTCTTCTGTAGTGCTGGCCTTGAAAAAGTTATTTAAGGGTATCTTTTTAGTTATGATTTTCCTTCCTTCGGTTCCTCCTTCCTTCTTGTATTCATTCATTTATAGCTGACCTTTTTCCCAATAGAGGGACCCAAAGTGGCTTGCAAAATGCTTAAAAACAGATGTCAGCAACCAAAGACATGATAAATTGTGGTATTAAAAAGCTAAACATCTTACATGTTAAAAGTATTACATCAAAACAGATTAAAACTATTTAAGAGCATATCAAAAAAAGTAATTGGTATAATATCCCTCCTTAAGAAAAAAAAAAACTTCTCTTCATACCCAGTTACTAAAAACCTACCTGAAGAGAAAAAGTCTTTGCCAATCTAACAGTTTTTTTCTCATGACATTATTAATTTGTGCCTCCTTATGGTGACTCCTTCTACCTCTGTTCCTTTGTTTCATTCATTTTCTGTACATCATTTTGTGATGGGCAGGGTGGTGAAAAGTGAACAAAAATTATAATTTCCTGGAGTAAATAAATACATATAGCTGCCTAGAGTGTTCCAATAGACCAGAAGGGCCGGGTAGGTATAAATACATAAATAAATAAATAAATAAATAAATAAACAAACAAACAAACAAACAAACAAACAAACAAACAAATTATGAAAGAAGCTACATTAACTTAGAAGTAAAGAATTAAAAATCACCCTTGATTTAATGACAGCAAATTTCAGTTTACCATTGTCTGATCTTGTTTATCATTGGTCTGATCTTGTTACAGAATGGATGGAATTCACTCCCTTTGAGGTTGGTTTGTTAAAATATGGTGCCTATATTAATTCAGAAGATTTTGGAAGCAAATTCTTTATGGGTCGAATGATGAAGAAGATTCCAGAATCTCAGATCTGCTTCATGAAAGGTGACTTAGCATTTCTTTACTTCTAATAGCATGATAACAGAAGTCTCGTGGTGCAGTGCTTGAACTATAGTACTGTATTACAGTCAAAATTCTGCTCATGGTCCGCTTTAGATCCTGTCACCAGCTGGAGGTTGACTCAGCCTTCCATCCTTTCGAGGTCAGTTAAATGAGTAGTCAGTTCCCTGGGAGTGGGGGCAATGTGTAGCCTGTCTAATTAAGTTGTAAACTGCCCAGAGAGTGCTTTAAGCACTATGGGGCTGTATATACACAGCACACTTTGCTTTGCTTTTGAATTACTGAACACTGAGGCCCACCAGTTGGGCCAAGGGCAAAATGGTGGTCTTAAAAAGATGTTATTATATGCCTAGAATTATTTTGTTTCTTTGTTTTTGCATATGGCCTTTTGACACAAAACCCCATTCCAAACTGGCTTAGCAAAACCACCCTACCCCGAAATGATTGCATGTCAGACTGAATCATCTCCCTAAACATGTTCATTTCTGCACAGACTGACTTGCAACATACAGCTTGGCTGTAATTAGAATGGACTCTGTAATAAGTGGTAGCTGGAAGATAGAGGCATGTAGTTGTCTTTCAGTTTCTGGTGTAAGAAACTGTCTGCAATGTAGTTGCACAGCTGGCACCTAGAGAGGAGACTTCTTGCTTGGATCCCTCTTCTTCATCTGAAATTTATTTGGATGATCTTTTATTATATTTTGACCCATGGAAAAAAGGTGGTAATGAAGTTCTTCCTACAAATTCATTAAGTTGCACATAGCCCTCAACTCCCCCCAAAATAGTCCGTGTAAGCTACCTTACTGATTACAGAGTGTTTCTGCTATACAGTTCTTAAAAGTTTATGAGCAGTGATATCCTTGTCATATTCTCCAGTCTTGCTCATTCAGTAATGCTCCCATAAACCTAACCAGTGTACATATCAATTGGTGGCTTGAATACTGTAATACATGAATCTGAAGAAGCGGGCTATGCCCACAGAATCTCATGTCAACTAGTGTAGTGGGCCCTTATCAAAGAAATCAGGTTCTTGCAGCTGTTCGGTAGAAATTTAAACTATGTCTCCTGCATGTAATACTGCTATTGACGCCTTAGTTTGTTCATTTCAACCTCTGCATCAAGCTTCAAATAACAAACTCAATCCAGTAATTAATCCCAACTGGAGTAGGCCCACTGAATCAATGGGAATCTAATAAGTTAACATTTATGTAAGTATTGATTCAGTAACTGTACTCCAGCTGGGACTAACATTTGTATTTAGACCATTGCCTTTAAATGTATGATCTCAGAGAGAATACACTCACAGAGAGAGAGGAGAGAGAGAGAGAGAGAGAGAGAGAGTCATCATGACCAAACAAGAATTTGAGACAAGTTGTCTTGAGTCCTAGTCCTCATACTTTCCACTACACCACACAGCATTTATCTCCATATTTGTATTTACCTAAAAATCTCACCCTGCAATGAAAATGTCACCTAAAATGGTCCCACTCTTTAAGCGAAACAAACGCTTAAAGAGCTTATCCCCGATTTGTATCTGTATCTGGCAAAGAGTAACAGAGACAGGGAATGCCTGCCCTCTGGTGGTAGTTTTGCGAATGGGTTTGTTTTTGTCAGAAAGCACCCAGCTCAAACCCCAGTGATGATTTTAGCAAAAACCCCAGTGCCATGTTACTTTGGAAGACTGGTGGTTGATATTTTTGATGGTAATTCAACAATATGCATTTTTAGCAATACTTCTGCTGCTACATATGTTCTTCAGTTCATTGGGACACTAGGATACATGCTTGCCAGCCACATCTTTCTCCAAGGCCACGCAGGGTATAAGCAAAGAAACTAAGAGAAAAATGCTGAAAAGAGGGCAGGTCTTTTGTAAAGCTATTGAACTTAAGATCCAGGCACAACTAAATTATTTTCCTTATAGTGCGCACAGTTCACACAGCATAGTTTTGCTGGGGAAAACAGGTATACATAGCTGCTGCCAGGACTGCAGCTAAGTTCCCAGGGAACAGAGGCTTGGCAGACAGCATCATCATAAAAATTAAATTAAAACACACACACCAACTCCTTGGGCTTTGACATCATGATACTTAGCTTCATAAAGTTACTGCTTTTACTAAATGGTCTGATAAATCATCACAGTAGGAACTGGTAAATGCCCCCAAACAAAATGTTGTTGTACAGCTATCATATTGTATCAGAAGTTCTTACCAGATCTCTGTCATTCTCTCCAGGTGTGTGGAGTAATGTGTTTTCCTATAATCTGCTGGATGCCTGGCGTGCCCTTGACGTTTCAGAAGAAAGTTTTTGGCACAGATATACTAGGGACAGAGTGAAGGATATAGGTTAGTTGTTTTTACAAATAAGCATTGACTTTAGATTTTTGTTTCATCTCATCCCCTCAATAGTATTCATTCTAGTGCCATCGCTAATCTGAGCAACCTATTTGTCCAGAATCTCATTGGTGATTTAAACTCACAGAAAAAAAAAATCACGAAAGTCTTAGTGGCAAATTGCAACAGTAAACTGTGGTTTGCATTCCTGTGTGTGTGCATGTGCTGGCAACACTATTTTCACCTTTATTTTCAAAAGAAGATTTACATTTTTTTTCTGCCAGAAAAAATAAGCAGCTGTGACAGATTATTGATTTTGTTCTGTCCTGAGAACATTACTTGCCATTATTGTAGTTCTTTCAGCTGATCTAAGGCATGAGATATCTCCTTTTCTACTTAGATTATTTTAGAATAACATAAAAATGAATTGTTATGCTGTGACCTCTCCTTTGCATGGTATATAAAGTTCAAATTCGACCTTCAGCAAAGTTTCAGACCTCAGAGTTAATTTTGTTTATATTTCAAATACTCTAAGATTTTGGTTTTGAATTTAAATCACTTTTAGAAAATTTACAGTACATTTTAATTAATTTCAAGGCAATTTTAAGGTGAAGTAAAAGTTTGCAGGAGCACTTAGGCCTACAAGGGGTTACCCCCTTTCTTGTGACGAAGAAAGAGGAGAAAACTCTCAGGGTTCCTTCCTTTTGCATTATATGGAGTCAGCTCCGTTAATTAAATAAGTAGAGAAGCATCCACACATACAAACCTTGTGTGTTCCCTGGACTGACCTTTTAATTCAGAGCCAGTCTTGTCAAACAATTATGATGAGTGCTGTGCCAGCTGCCTGATGCAATCTGTAGCCCAATTCAGCTATTCAATTAGTTTCTAGCTTGGTTTGGACTAGAGATGGGGTATTCGTATTCGTATATGAATACCCCTGCACAGCTGGACTTAACTCATGTCCTCCACCGACAGCCTCGGTCAGCATTCCAATGGCTCCTGGACCACTGCTCTCTTTCCGCTCATCTAGCCACTTGGCAGCCATGCATCCTCCCTCCCTCTGCCTGGAGTTGGCTAGATGAGCAGAAAGAGAGCAGTGCTCTGGGAAGGTTGACTGAGGCTGCTGCCACCACCATACAGTGGGGTCTCGACTTACGAACTTAATCCGTATTGGAAGGCAGTTCTCAGGTCGAAAAGTTGGTAAGTCGAATAGGAATGCTCTTTTCGTCCATAGAAACTAATGGGAAGCTGCTATTCCGCCTTCTGCCACTAGAGGGGAAATTTTTTTTTATTTTTTTCCTTTTAACCTAAGCTTTAAGCTTTAAAAAAAGGGGGGGAAAAAGAGTTCGTAACTCGAATCTAAGTTCGCATGTTGAGTCCATATATTCCTATGAGAGGGGTTCGTAAGTCGAAATGTTCATATGTCGAGCCGTTCGTAAGTCGAGACCCCACTGTACGCATTAACTCCAGCTGTGCAGGCGTATTCGTATTTGTCTACGAATGAATATGAATACAAATGCCCCCAACTCTAGTTTGGACTATTTGAATCCAATCCAACCTGAGTCAGGTCTGGAATTTAAACCAAAACTCAGAAACAGGTTGAATCTTTAGGTCTCTGACTGAATTGTGCTGGGAAGCCAAAACAAGAAGAACAAGACCAATGGATTTTCACACTTCTGTTCATATGTTAGTCTTGGCACCCTGAACTGTTCATAGGGGCATCTCTACAGAGTAGCCACACAACTATTTCAGTGTTAAGTTGCTCCTGCTTTTTCCCCAGCTAGCACCTGTTACTATATGTTCTTGCCTACCAGACTTGTTGGGGTATTCATAATAAGCCATGAAGCCAAGAGCTTTCATCTCATCATGGTGACCAAATATGTCACATGACTCACATGCTATGGGCACAGCTGTACGCAGAAGAGCACACAGAGGTTTTAATGAACATACCCCAGCTGGGGCAAAGCATTTCCTGCATGTAGAGTGCTCCCGTATTACATAGATTTTAAAAACATGTCACTGTGTCATGTTCCAAAAACAAAAACAAAAAAAGAATTATAATGTACATCAGAGAACATCTTTAGTTCTCTTCCATATAGTTTTTTTTCAGTAAATTAACAAGTGGTGTTTTTTTCCCTTCTAACTTACAGAAGAACTACCTCCACAACCACCGAGGCAGCAAGAATTGCACACTCAGCTGGTTATCCCTGCTCCTGAATTTCCAACATTTCTTCGTGAAATCATAACCCAGCGCATAACAACCTCCAAGTTCTACAATTTTTTGAAGGGATTCCAACTCAGCAATGGCTATCTAGATAATAAGAACTTCTGTATTTGGAAGGGTAAGTAAGCAACATTTTAAAGAGAATCTCCATAATTTAAAGAGTTTTGCGCAATATCTAAAAGGCTGCAAGGCCGCTTGTAAGGTAAACAGACAGACAAACGTTTGTCAAGAGGATAGCTCAGTTAAAGGAAAAGTAACAGTTTTCATTTTGAAAACTAGGTATACATGTTTTTAGGTGACTAATTGAACATTAACCTAGGGGCTGTACTTGGGGAATGGGGTGCTAAATCAACCCCCAGTTTAGGTATGGGGGGCCACGGCTTCACCCCACCATGCATGCAAGGACCCCTGGCCAAAAGGAAGCAGGAAAAGGAAAAGGCAGCAGGAACAGAACCTGCTTGCGCTTTCTTGCTCAAGGAGGAAGGAGAAGGAGAAGGAGGCAGCAGGTACAGACTGAATTTGGCTGGTGCAAATGGTGGGAAATTTCATGTCAGTCCATTTTTAGGGAACTTAACACTGAGGAGAAAGAGGTTATATTTGGAATGGAAGAAACAAAACTGGTCAATGATACTAATCTTAGCTAGTATGAAAGTGCCTTTGTTTCGCCTCATAACAAAAGGAACAACAATAATGAAAAGCACCATTCTTGCATTTTAAGATAGAAGGGGAAAACCATCAACCCTAGACAGTGAGGGGAACTTGGCCTGACTGATCTGTAGTGTTCTAATTTTTAACTGGTTCACGATGAGGGAGACAAAATCTAAACAATTAAAGCTGACAAATGAAACTCAGTTGAAAAGATGGCAACTGTGAATTTCGTTGTATGTGTATATACTTACAATGACAATAAATTATTATTATTATTAACTGTCTTTGAATGATATTATAATGGGATGATTGCAGTTGAGGGAGAAAAATGGCCAGAAACTCTAATGCTGGGATTGATGAAATGACTCTCAGTCAGTAATTGATCTGAGATTTAATAATGTAGAAATTATTTTATATGTGCAATATGTACTGTATAGGTAATGAGCCATCAAAGTCTGGGAACGGGTGCATTTATTGACATAGAAGCAACAGATCACTTTTTGAAACAATGAACTGCTAACAACAACATTTTGCTTTCAGATACTGTACTGGACACTTTTCCGAACCAGCTAACAGCAACATCAGAATACCTGTCTGTTGTAGATACCGCAGCTTACTTAGACATCAGCTACCCACCACTTTTGAGGCCAGAGCGAAAAGTTGATGTTATTATTCATTTAAATTATTCTTCAGGATCACAAACAAAAGTGAGATTATTTGTTATTAGAAAGTGTTTTTTTAAAAAATTCAATACAAAGGCAAAAAAAAACTGTAATAAGTGACAATTAGAGTAGCCCTTTGAATTATTAGGGACCTGGTATATCAACTCTGTTGTAGTTTCATTGATTCTATGGGCCTTGTTCAGTTGTAATTTACTACTCAATTTCAGCCATTCTATTTTGCTTGTGTTAAGTATAATTTGCAGAAAAACCTACTGAAAGACCTGTTTTCATGTTCTTACGTTATAAATACCACTTGAAAGCTGAAAATAGTCAGCACATACTACCTACAGTTGCCTTATGGATTTCACCCCTTTTATGAAGACTGTAATTGGAGTAGAAGCATAACGTGCTATGCGCAGCAGCTGCCACCTGCAGCTTTTTCTTAATGATCTCCACATAGAACATATGCACTAACATGCACTAACTACATTAAATTTGAACTTTTCAAACTTCTCTTTCACCTCACTTCACAATATCCTGTCTTGCTATGCCCTTCCTACAGTTACATTCACTCAGATCATATTCCTGAAACTGGGATTAAAATCATTGTCCATATTCAAGCATTAATCGGTTAAAATCCCAAGGCCACACAATATTTTAAAGATCAGCATTTTCGACCCCTTCTATTAAACTGTGAAGTTTGACAAGCATAAATTCAGCTGTATTGTTGAGTCACTGGTTCCCAGTCTTGGGTATAAACCAGGTGTTCATGGACTGCAACTCCCAGAAGCCTTCACCACCAGCTGTGCTAGTTGGGGTTTCTGGGAGTTGCAGTCCAGGAACACCTGGGTTATCCAAAGTTGGGAGCCACTGTGTTAGAAATAAGATGGCTGCTTTAAGTAGAAGATGCTTGGTGGAGGAGAGGGCAGAGCAAGGTGAAGAGGGGATGTAATGAAAAGAAGGAAGGTTTTTGAAATATATACCATACTCTCTTTCTCTCTTTCTGTCTGTGTGTGTGTGTGTGTATATATATATACTGTATATATATATAAACAGAGAGAGAGTATATATCTCATGAGAGTATACTTATTTCCTTTTCCCACAATCTGTCATTGGATCTTCATTGTAGTCCTGTTTGTCTTAGTTCTACAGCAATATTCATATTTTTTTTTAAATGGTGGTCCTTTGATTTTTACTCTATTTCCTGATTCTATACCCTTTTCATAAAGATTGCTATGTAATCCCTGACAAGGGTCATAGATGGGGAAATAAGTATCCTTCTTGCTACATCTTACAATCAGTGTCCAACTCTTCATCTATTCATCTTGCCCATCTTTTATGCCCTTCTGCCTCATCAACTAGATGAATAGTAAAGATAATGAGAATGAGCCATAAATGAAGATCTAACTCTATGATTAAAATCTTGTATTTGCCAGAAACGTACCAAGTGGCCTTTGGCAATTACTGTCCAATTTGGTGTGACTACATTTTCAAGTTGTTGAAAGCTTTGTTTAGATAAGATGTGTAAGGAACTCTGAACATTCTAATGGATGACTAAATATTTTAAGACCACAATTAAGTCCCATATTTTCTGGAAAGATTCTCGTAGGCTCAGTACAGCTACTTCTGTCCCTGCCTAATCCAGATGCATATAAAGGCTGCAAAACATGTCATTACAGTGAAAAGTGAGGTATATATATACATGCCTGCTGCAGCCTCATGAAATCCTTCGTCAGTACTCAGTGCACAGGATTATTTAGAAATTAAGAGGAAAGTCACAAATCTAGGAATTTTATTTCAAAAATTACACAAAAATCATGTTGATTAAAAGTTAATATTTATTTTCCTTTTTAACTTTCTCTCATGATAATTCAGACTTTAGATGAAGCCTCCAGATACTTTTCAAAGCAAGGTATTCCATTCCCTAAAGTGGATCTGAGTCATATTAAGGATAAGGATCTGAAGGAATGCTATGTCTTTGAAGATCCCGAGGATGCAAAAGCTCCCATTGTGGTTTTTTTCCCTCTTATAAATGACACCTTCAGAAAATACAAAGCACCAGGTAAGTTACAATAATAGTAATAGTAGTAATAATAGTAATAGTAATAGTAATAGTAATAGTAATCATCATCATCATCATCCTGCATTAGTAACTCCAGTAGTATTTTCCCTCATAAATCTTCCTTCCTTCCTTCCTTCCTTCCTTCCTTCCTTCCTTCCTT